GTATATTGTGTTATATGAACCACATAATATTATATTGTGTAATGTATGTACAGGGTGGAGGCAGTATCTCATATATTCACGTGGGTATGGTAATATATCTAATCAAATATATTTTGACTTGAATCATTTATAATATGATAATCGATCAAAACATCTACAGACCAAACATCCTAGTTTAAAAATGTAGAAAAACCTTTTTAAAAAAAACCACAAACATTTTAAAATGTCTTTATAAAATAGTAAAATAATATAAAGTTCAACATAATTTAAATTAATACGAAATAACACAATTACGTAGACAATAGATTACACTTATTTTCTAGAAACAATGAGCAATGGCTTTTTAAAAATTCGGAATTTCCTAACTGCGATCATTATATTTCTCTCAGTTATGTATTAATTTGTCTTCTATTTTATTTTTGATCAGTGGTGCTGTCCAATGGTACCAAGTTTGCAGTGTGCAATTTTTGTTTTAATATAGGTTTATTAAGATATGTATTTTTGTTTAAATGTTTTGGGTTATTTCCATTTTATTGACATCCAAATACCCAATTCGTTTACATTAAGGGTTTCAACCAAAATTACCACTTTTTAATGGTTTGTAAAAATGTGTAATTCTGCGATAACGATGATATAGTTTACCTGCATCTTTTAGTATTAATACAATTATATAACTATCAAAATTCGTGAACCCATCTGATTGTGAGGTATTATCACAAGATAACATAAAATCGAACACTGGTAACGTGCTACTGTGGTCAGAATATATAAGAAAAAACTATAGAAAATACATAATATAACTTAAAAATTTGATTTCATTCTGCCATTATGGAATGGTTTAAAATGAAGTCAGAAAAAGGCAGGACTTACAGGAATTAGTGAACAATACAATATTCTCAGAATAGATCAAAGACGAAGAGACAACAAATATGTAGTTATATTATGTCCAAACCACAAAATCATATTATATTTTTATTCTATATTAAATATTTGTTATGTACATAGATAAATTATTTTATTAAAATTAGGCGAATACTGGTTGTCTGCAAATTGGTTGTCGATAAACTGAATAATTTACGATATTTTGAAGTAAATTTGTTATATATACATACTTTTTAATTTTCATCATTTATCCGTTGACTGAAAAAAGATATAAGATAATATATTTCCAACTTGAAAATATTTCTATGTTTTTTATGACAACCTGAAATGATTAGATAATTAGTTTTATTAAAATGGTAATCACCAAACTAAATGTTGTGCATATATTTAAATTACAGTTTTAAAAATATAAACAATTATATTTGGGCGATTGCCCACATAAACTTTTTAATACATCTATAGTTAAATTAAATTTAGTAATCCAGAATAATAAGGTACCTATGTGTGTAGTTCTAAACTATCTATAATCTGTTTAAAATGCAACTGTGAATGATTATGTATTTTATTTTTATTGTTTGAACATTTTCATTTTCATTTTCAATTTCAATTTTGTTTGTTTTTTGAATGATTATTGGACGATTAGTTTGGATAGTAACTTTTTCAACCCTGTGTGTCTATTGCGCATATATATATATATATATGTACATTGTACAATGTATATACATAGATTATATAGTAGTATATACATTATACTTATAGTGGTAGGTATACGATATAATAGTGCCTCTGCGTTAAGCTCATATTGCGAAAAGTGAGAAAAAATATATAGGTACTACAATATTATAATAAATAATAATAAACAACGGTCCACCGTTTTCATTAATGTCAAATTTAATAGTATACCTACTCATCGTAGACATACCACTGCCCTATGTGCGGGGGTCCGTGTAACTTTGTCCGTGTACGACTACGTAAAGAGTGGGTGTAAAGTTTGTCGGTGTGAAAACTTTTGTCACGCGAACACGCGTGACGACGTGGCCGCAGAAAGCGAAATTAAATCATCGCCACACCTCGTTATAATATTATACTCAGCTCAAAAAATGCGCTTTTGGTTAAAATTCTATAAACTCCTCGGCCGGTCGTTTACGTGGCACTTAACGAAATTAAAATCCTTCGCCGGCCAACTCCAGTGGTGCGTTTACGGCTGCAACTTCGACAAATAATAATGTATAATAACTTTTAAATGTTTGTTGTAAAAATTATAGTTGATAAAACTATTTTGTAGTTATGAGTCATTAATACATTTAGGAGGACGTGTTAGTATAACATTTTAAACAAATTGTAATAATATTATCTTGAGGTGCTATAATTTACCATTTGTGTTAGTCATATTTCGCTATTATACTACAGATCAGTTTAATATACCCGTTGAATATTGTACTAAAGTTTATAGTTAGCAAAACTGTAAGATATTGTAAGTTGTTTCATTTTTAAACGGAGTTCGCGTGACTTGTTTTCGCGATCAGTCGTTCGTGTACCTCTCTAATCCAATTTACTATATAAGTAAATTGTGCTCTCTGTAACAAACTCACAAATCACAAATAATGCTCATTTCACATTTCACAGGGATTCATACGTGCTAGATTATATAATAATTTGTGGGTACCATATCTTAAGTTCTGTACTTAAGTGTGTTATTGTCACTCATGTACATGTACAAAATCATTAACCTATCATCTTCATTGTCAATTTTTGAAGATTATGTGGCTTGTGTTAATCTATATTACTGTAATTAAGTTTTTTTTTTATTAATCTTATGCTCGGAAACTTAGGTAGTTTTCAGGGGGTAGGGCAATTATTTTGAACACATAATTGAATATGTGTAGTGAGGATTTGTTACTAAAAATTCGAGGGTTGACCATCCGGGATCTAACACCACCAGCTGGTAGGTACACTCAAAGCGCGTATGCAATTGAATGTAGACACCGATGCAGACAAAGCTACAAGACATTACGTGTTATATTTGAACTCAGTGATGAACCATAACACACGAAAAACAATTTTGAATGGAGACGTGTTATCCCAGAATATCTTGTATACATAATCAAATATTTTGAAAAAAAATTATGAAAAAAGAAAATATCTCTTGACTATAAATAGCGTTATTTAAGGTAAACTTTTTTTTTGTTTAAGACAGAAAAATTCGCGGGAAATCTTTCATTAAAATTTTTGTTTTAGCTGTGGAAAGAAAAACTTTTATGAATTTACTGAACAATAACTTGAAAATGTTCAAGATTTTGACGAATTTTGTCAAAATTTGAACACTATTAAATGCATATAAAAAATTTAAAATCGTGCCAAGTATGTTGAACTTCCATTGAAGACCATATGAGGAACCTTTCATTAAATTAATAAGATTTTTTACTACAAGAAAAAGTTTTTATCGCTTATAATTTAAAAAAAAGTACAAAACTCAAATGATGTCTCAAGGACATGACATTTTTTTTCACTTTTTTATGTTTTTCCCTGTGGTGCTTTTCAAAAAATACCAACTAGATTTACTTTTATATTAAAAAAGGTGCTAATGTCGAAAATCGGAGCATTTTTACTACCACAAATGTTGATGACAGACACAATCACATCATTGTAAATATAATACAATCATCGCTCCACTCAAAATCTAAAAAATACATTTTTTTGGTTTAATATGTTTATGTGACAAGATCGGCTATGGTTTGCAATGGAATTCGCAGTTGAAAGTTTTGTAGGTAAATATTCTTATCGATTATTTAAAATTTCTCATCAGAGATGCGGATGTTAAAAACTATTTGTGGAAAATGATAAAAGTTGAACAGATTTATATAGCTATGACATAAATACTAATAATATACCTCAAGTGACAGTTATAATATAAAAATGTTACTTTGATGAATTAAATTAAGTAACTTTGCAGACAGTACAGTGTATATATTATCCATATAATGCTTGAGAGTTGAGGTCAAATGCATATATGATAGTGAATTTATATTTTTGGAGGTTCATCAACTAACTACTAACAATAAAGTATAGAAACATTTGAGTAAGTACTATCAATATTATTTACATTTCTAAATTTATATCAATAAGGCAATTTATTATTTACATGTAGGAATTATTAAAATTTCAGCTTCAGAACCATTTTGGTTCACTAAATACCTTGTCATTTATTTTATACAGGCTATTTCGTTCGTATATAATTATAGTTACATTATTTATAAGACTACATTATATGTATATAATTGTTCTTCGAAAAATAGTTGGAAGTATTTTTCATAAATGATTTATAGATAAAACGATACTATTTGTCTGTTTAATTGCGGAACACCATGTACTTTGCATACATTTAAACATCACCTCATAGTTAATTACCCATATACAATATCAGGCCTGATAATTATATTATCTTCAATATGATACGAAATCAAATATGAAAAATTGAGATATGATGCTAATGTAATAACTTTTGCCAAAATACTTCATTTATAGAGGCGCGTAGTGCACTGTCTCTGAAACAGCAATAATTTCAGTTGTTGTACAGTTTAATATCTTCTGCCCAGTAATAATTTTATTGTTATACGATTCGTATACAATTTATACGTGTTTATGACTTTAGATATTTTCAAATTAGATTCTGACAAAACTATAATAATTTTTTTTAAATAAAAAGTTTAGCTTAATATTGCATTATTCCCTGGATGAATATCAAAGCAACAAATTACAATTTGTGTTTATAATTATTTAAAAATTTATCAAACTATTTATTTTGATGAATATTTGTAAGCTTTTTATCATTTAAAAAAACTATTGTAGAATATATATTCATCTGGACCAATTACATTTTCTTATTTACTATTCACAATGTTAACATATCCGAACATGCATTCATACTGATAAAATACAATTTTTACATCATAGTTATAATTTTAAGTAGATACTTATACAATATTTAGGTAAAATAACCTTATAATAACTATGTTAATACTTAGTTTAATATTAATTTATTTCTGATATTTTAACATTAACTTGATATACTTATTTATTACAATATGTAGCGATAATAGTAACTATGCAATACTTACTCGGATCGAGTTGGTTCGTCATTCCCCCGCCGACCGATGCATGGCGACTGTGCCGTCTGTCTGAGGCCCATAAATCGGGAACTGAAAAAAATAAATCGAATAAACTCACGAGCCAAACTAAAATGATAATAATATATTATATTATTTGATACACGGAAGATTCGTACGTCGTATCGTGATATATAGACTTGTATGTTGTCGTAAATACGAAGTTCGTGCAATAACGCATTTCCGGATTCTCGTGATATTCAACATTTAAAACTTGTCTCGTGTGTATACAGCGAAAATGTAATAATATTATACAACGCATCAAAAACTGATTATATGTATAGGTTCTACCATTGTGCTACGTCGGTGTTTGGGTACTCCATTTACCCTATAAACGGTTCAGAAACGTGCGCCATTCACATGCTAACAATAATGAATTGATTTGTGTTTCACTATCGTCTTGTCAATAAACAATAATTATGACGTTTATAATGATGTCTAATTGCATGTACCTACTGTCACTTTGAACAAGCCTTTGAAATGGCCATTGATTTGTGTAATAATTTTCACTGAATTTATTTCAATGTATTCTATTTATACGCATGTGTTAAAAATATTTATAAAGCTGTTAAATTTTTGAAAAAGAAAATTCGCATTTTATTTAAATTATAAATTATCGGTATACAAGTACTATGAATAGTTTGAGACTTAAGAATTTAGTAAAATATGGTATAAGACTGTTTAATTGTGAACTGTGTCCAATTTAGAAAACAATTTATTATAGTTGTCATTATTGATATTGCACATTATAATTTATAATAATATTAAAGGTACTAAATATTATAATATTATGCCCGCTGTTTATACTTCTGAATATGCAATATTGGCGACACACGGAAGTGTAAAGCAGTATTTGGCATATTATATTATGGGAATCTTAAGTTATTTGTATATTTAAAAAATAGGTTGAACAATTTTAAGTTAGTTTTAAAATATTGTAATTGAGGTATATTTCCATCTGGTATACAATGTGCAAATCTGATATGGTACTATGCACTATTATGTTTCACACCTCCGAATGTAGCAGATACCGTGTAACGTGAAATGGCCAATATTTGTCAAAAGACAAATCAACTAATATTCAACTTCTTATTATTGTTTTCGTTTTATTTATTTATTAGGTACTCTTAAAAAAGTTTTAAACTTACCACTGATAATTAAAATACCAAAGTGGACAATTCTGTATTATATCGATTTAGGATTGGATTATTCGCAAAAATAGTTTTTAATTAATTTTTAAAATTTAAATTATGATGAAATTAATTGAATTTACAAAATAAAATATAATGACGATATTATTAATAAATTGTTTAAGGTATGTTTATATTTTGATTTAATGTGTCATTTCGGGTATTATTTGAACATTTTTATTTAAGCGATATTACTTATACAATATTCAATACATTTTCAAAACTATTGGTCGTAAATTCTTTTTATGAGCACTTAGAATTTAGAAAAACTTACTATAAACACCGTAGCAGACAGAATTTCGTTCAAGATTGTGTTTTGAACGCGATGGTTGTATCATTGTTTTGAAAAGTATAACAATAATATCAAACTGTATTATGCAGATTCGAGGAAAATATACTAGTTCCCTGTGCACAAATTATGAGTATCCTGATCATAGTTTTATTATTTAAGTATTTTAGTATCAAGTTAGTCAAAATGTTGATAAATAAACAAAACTATGATGCAAAACCTTCACATGTATTATTCGTCAAATGAATAAACTTAATAGGTTCGTCGAGAAATCAATGAACTAATATAATATACATGATCTAAACATTATAATGACACATGTTTATAATAATGCATATTCTATCTTGTAGTTTTTATCATTAAAAAATGTAATATCTTTCATAATATTATTTAATAAAAGTATGTTTATGGAAAATACAATTACCTATAGGATCCTGTAAAATGTAACCTTATTGTATACTCTAATGTATAAATAAATGTACAAGCCTTTTTACTCGTGTAACCGTGACAAAAGAGACATAACATTATGACAATAATATGTATCATATTTTTCTTTTTTTTCTAAAAGTTTATCCTACAATACATTAATTGTAAAAGAATGTTGATATGGTTTTACTTTTATACCCTCTCATTTTAAATTGTTACTACAAAAATAATAATTAAGCTTTCCAAATTTGTAGTCTAGTGGTAAATCTGTAGTTATATCAATGTTTGAAGGTAAATAATTACTATCCAAACTGCTATCATATCTAATAACAATTAATAATTTTAAAAAGTATTGGTAATTTAAAATATACTAAATAAATCAATAATAACTAACCGTTTAATTACTTATATCATGTATAAATATATATTAGTTTTATGATTTTGTAAAGTAAAGTTCATTATTAATGCATGTAAATTATAAATTCAATATATTATACGAAATATTACATAGATACCTAACTGAAAATCATAAACACAACATTAATATTAACCTGGCATTCATGGCACACAGCTTAGGTGATGTATAAATAATATTTAATAAAATAAATCGTTTAGTTAATGGGTTTAGAGTTGGGCATCCCTCAACAACGTTTATTTCTCGTGTTAACTCTATTTCAATCAGGTCACATCAGTCATCAGAGTGCGTGTTATAGATGTAATGTCTGCATGAATATACATTTCAGTTAATATTTACCACCATCTACTAAAAACAATTTCAATGACAGGTATGTAAAATATTATAAGCCACAAACGTCAAATAATTCATATCGTTAGGTACTTGAATAATCAAATATATTTTGTAAAAATTCAAAAAACATAATATCAAACGATTCATTACATATCCAATATTGTTCACATAGTATGTAACCCAGATTTTTAGTGATATTTATTTTCATCTATTCTTTATAAGTACCTATCCAATTTTAATATTTGTTTTTTTTTTATAACTACCTATTATTTTTGTCTCATTATCAATGATTCCTTAATAGATAACCCTATTCTTAACTTCAATTTACACTTACAATGTTATGATACCGAGACAGTCATTCAGCGAGTAAGTAAGCTATTGTATAAAAAAAAATTTTTTTTTTAAATTCGATTGAAAAAAATGAACATTAATTTCATCTTAGACGTGTATTTTTCAAAAATTTCCCAATAGCTCTTTGTCTGGCTGGTTTGAATATTATACATACCTACCTGGCTACCTATCGCAAGGTTATTATTATTAACATAGGCACATTTTTTTCTGAAAATTAAAATTTCTTTCAATTAGTATACATTATTTTCCATTACTATTAACATATAGTAGAAATATTATAATTTCAATTAATCAGAAATTCAAAGTACATATAATGAGTATGTAATAATGATGTTAAATGTATTGAGTCAAAATAATAGGTGGCATATTCATAAATAGTAGTGCTTACATATTTTGTTAAGAATAATTCTAATTTAGTGTCCGCATATGCATAAAATGTATGTATAAAATCATTCAAGTATACTATATTATTTAACAGCTCAGTCTTAGTTAACAACTATACAGGGTGTTTCACCAATTACGCTCACTTCTTCAATAATGTAGTTATTCAAAATATAATTTAAAAATTGTTTAATATGTCTAAATTCTGTATTTTCTAATTTTAGATTCTTGAACTACTTAAGGAGTGTCTTGTACCGATACAATCTTCTGTTTTTTTAATAAAAACCCCTTCCCTATTGAAATTATTTACTTGATCATTTTTCTAAATTCTACGCACCAAAATCAAAATTTGAACAAATAATTTTTAAGTTACTTAACTCTGTGTACTGAGGATCAATTAATTATAAATGGTTATGTGGGCCTATAGTCAATTGTAACATGTTTGGAATATATGGAGGATAGGGTGATTTGAAATTTGTATTAAATATTAATAATGCTTAATACATTTATATCATTTTCCAAAATGGTGAGAGTATAATAAATATTAGATCTAAATAACCAATATTACATCTATCTGATATTTTTATGAAACCATTTTTAAGGACTATTATCTTTAGTATAAACATTTTAATACCTTAGAAATAACTCATTCAAATTTTTAAATAAGTAAAGTACCTGCATCAAAGTGTTTAAACAAATTTTAACTCATCCAACAAATAATAATTTACAGCACGATTTTAAAAGCGATTTCTCATTTGAAAAACAGAAGTTTGTATTACCACATGTCCCACATGGCACTCTTTAAGTAGTATGGATAAAAAAATCTTAAGAACGTTAAAATATGGTTTTTAAGTATATTTAAAAATTCCAAAAATCAGAATTCAATAAATTTATTATTGGACGAAAATGAGAGTGAGCTTGCTTAGTAAATTACTCTACGTACTGGTTTTTGAGTCAAGTAGATTGATTTCTGTTTATTGTATTCTGTAATTTATTTAAGTCATGATAATAGTACCACCCATGTTATCATTAATTGAGTCCTGTTCAAGCTATGACTGTTTATATAAGTAGGTACATTGGTAACCTTAAATTGAATGGAACGATTATTCGTTATTGGCAAAGTTGGCATTGTGGTCAAAAAAAAAAAAAAAATAATGAACTATGATTGAGAATAATTATAACCAACAATATAGAATGTTCACAGCACCACAATTGATATAACGTTTATTATTATACTCATGTTTTTGTTATTGCACAATGATGTATAAATGCGCCCATAAATCGCCGGACAGTTTGCTTGTTATTAAAACAAGCATATGCAATATGTGTTAAATATTATACGAGGATATAATATACGAGAATATATCGTATATTTCATTTGCAGAACTGTTTCCGAATTAAATTTAAATTTCTAATCCATTTGTTTAGATTCCAACAAATACGAACAAGCTAATCGTATTATTAAATATATAATGTACTAAATAACATTGTAATTATTGATTTAATTTAAGGCCAAAGGACGCATTATTTAATTCAGTGGACAAACATGTTTCATATGCGTGAGTACATGGCATAATATAAGTATGAGATTTATTGTCGAATAAAGATTAAAAAAAATTATGTTTCAATTAATACTTTAATACCTAAT